CCCCGCCCCAAGGCCCCTCCCCCCCCCCACCGGGCCCTTGACCCAGATCTTCGAGCTGGCCAAGGCAGCTTCCTCCCTCGACCTCGAGGCCGGGCGCGCGCGCGGCGCGCCGGCGTCGCCCGAGGACCTGCCCTCCGCCGACGCGGCCGCCGCGGCGTTCCCCAGCAGGGAGCAGCTTCTGGCGGAGGACCCAAAGGCAGTGCGGCGGCTGCTGGTGTCGCTGGGCCTGCCGGGCAGCGGGACGCCCGCAAAACTGCAGGTGTGTGCTTTGTAAGAGCATGAGCGAGCGTTCCTATCAGCACAGGCCCAGCGCGTGTGCCGTGTGTATGCTTTGGGTGTATACTTGGGCAGTCACGCCGCATTTCGGCGACGGGCGCATGAGGCTAGTGCACGCGCGGCCGCCATCCCTGGCATTGGCGCTGGGAGCTCCCGCCGCGGACCGCTCACGTCGTAGCGAGCCCCACGGCTTTGCAACTGTGGTGCGCCCGATCAACGCTGCGCATCGCCGCTCGGCCCGCAGGCGCGTGCCCTGGCAGTCGCAGACGCGCTGGCGGCGGGGGACTCTTTCGAGGCGGCGCTGGCTGTCGCACGCAAGCTGCGGTGAGGCTTGTTGAGTAGGCAGCAGTGAAAGACGGCACGCAGGCGCGGGAAGTTCCTTGCAGCAATTGCAGTCCACTATACGTCGCAAGACAATCAGGCCCACCTCTTTTGTTGTCAGGGGGCGCAACTTCGTCGCGCATGCACTTCTCGAGGGATGTACATGTTCTAACCATTTGTTGGGCTGACTGTGTTAGCTGACCCCAGCTCAACTGAGCTGCTGCCTGGGTTGTTGCGTGTTGAAGAGCTGTGCAAAGCGATCGTCCGCAAGTTGCAGAGGGCACTGCAGAATCAACATCCTCACGTGGCAGCAGCAACACATCGAGTGGCATAATGTGCAATGCTCATGTTGATTGATGTTACGAACGGTTTGCTGCAGCGGTTTTTGTGTAAACTCCAGCTCTGGGGACAAACATCACAGGCAGCCAAGCAGCCGCCACGGCAGTGGCAGCACCGGGAGCGTGCGCTCAAGAATCTAAGGTTGGCAATTCTACGCCGACTCAGGGACCCACCAAGCAACGCGTGGACGCAAACACCTGGGCGCCGACTTCACGCCTGCATCACAGCCAGGCCGTCACAGCCAGGCCCGTCGATGAGACGTCTCCTGCAAGCTGCCTGATGCAAGCTCCGACCCGCAACGCCGCAAGGCTGGCCAGCAGGGCACCTCTGCCAGGAGGTGTCCGCAGTGTGGGACAGCGTTTCATGACCACCCCTCGCCCAACTCTCCGCAACTCTGCACTCAGCCACAACGGGCGCCCTGGTAGGGCTGGGCAACCTTCACCTCTTGTAGCCGATCATCCGCAGAAATGCCTGGGCGGAAGCCGGGGTGGCGACAGCAAGGGCATTGCCATCCTGCTAGCAAAGCTGCGGCCCCCTTGCACGCACGACCGCCACAGGCGCCTGCGAGGCCTGCTGCGGTGTCCTCGCGCGCCCAGATAGACCCGCAGCGCCTGCAATGCCCTGCAGGCCCCAAACCTTATGTCGTGATCCCTGTCCCACCTTGCGCTTCTCCTTGTCGCTGTCGGTCTCAAAATCAACGGGGCACAGCCCGTCCATCACCCCCATGATGCCCTGTCAGAAGGGGAGTTCAAGCAGGAAGTTACTTGTGGACGCGCCGGACGGACCTCGGCGACCATCCAGCAGCTCAGAAGCTGCCACGTTTGATGGCCGCGCCGCCCGCAGCTCAACTGTAGGCCCAGCACGAGAGCAAGTTGTCGCGGCCCGCACAAACATGCAGGTTTCGGTTTGCACCTTCGTTGCGCACATCCTCAATCCTCGCCCCAACCCCCCACCTTCTTGTCATTCCCCATCTTGGCCACGACCACGGACACAGGGTTGGCTGTCGCACAGTACACCCTGCACACCTCAGGCACCGCCTGCACGCGGCAGGGGGCGGCGCCCGGTGCATTTGCATCACGGCCTTGGAGGGTATGGGAGGTGTACAGAGGAGGGCGCGGACGCACCCTGGCAGGGCAGGCGCTTGCCAGCGGGTTGTGCAGGTCTGTTCTCTTGTGCTGCAACGCTTCATACAGTGGGGTGATGCAACAGCAGCACACAGGGCACGGCACAGCAAGTCAGAGCGCGGCACAGCAAGGCACATCGCAGTGCGGCACAGCACGTACACACGTAGGCATGCAAGCACACACACACGTTGACATATGCCGTCCATGCACCTTGATGCTGTCGAGCACAGCCACAGGGAACATGCCCTCCATGAAGATCACAAAGGTGTGCCCCGCCCCCAGGGCCAGTGCGTTGGTCTTGGCCAGATCAGTCATGGCCTCGTCATTGCCGTCATACCTCACCTTGCGGCCTGGCCAGAATGTGAATGGCGAGGCATACGCCAAGAGACGGGAGAGAGCAATGGGCAGTTCTCATCATAAATGTGAACTCAAATCTCAAGAACACGAGTGCATTCATGACAAGACACACGCACCAGCTGCACGCACCCACAACGCGCGTGAACCCCACACACGCGGCTCCAACCCCTTGACGCCCTCGCCACACCCAGAAGCGACCCATCACGCCCGGGCACGTGCGCCAAGCGCGGGCGAATTCAAGCGTCTAGGTGCCACCCACCGGGCATCTTCTCATCCTTGGGGTCCCCGGAGGCCTCGCAGAATGCGACCCCCCACTTTGCGCCGCCACTGGCGGAGGCCATGACCTCTGACAGGTCTTCCACCGTCTTGATGAAGTGGGCTGGCGGGCGGCAGCGGCGGTGGCGGCGGTGACACCAGGTGCGCTCGCACGTGTGTGGGGGCTTGCGGGTGTTGCGCCGGTTGGTTCGTCAAGTAGATCGTCAGGACTTCATCATACAAAATGCCGCAATTTTAGTGCGTGTGCCAGTGGGCTTGGAGGGTGCAGTCCAGGGTGACCCGCGGCAGCGGTGACCAGCCCGGTGACCAGCAGCCATGTCAATCAGACACCTACAGTGTCCCAGGATGAAGTTGTGGCCCCCGGGGTTGGTGATGTCCACCACATCCAGCTCTAGCTTAGGGGCCATGGCAGTCACCCTGATCGATGATGCAAGGGACACGTGTGGGCACACAACAGGTGCGCATTGCAAGGGGCCACGGTATGATGCATCAGGGCAAGAGAGATTTTATTGGATTGGATTGTGTGATGGGGTTTTGCCCGCGGCGTGGTAATGTTTGTTGGAAGGGCGGGGAGCCAGCAGGGACGTTGGGCTAGATGGGAGCGATGGGGGTGTTAGGGCCACGAGCAAGCACAGAGAAGTGCATCTTGAGGCGCCGGGCTGAGATGATGATAATGATCATCCACAGCACTGAAGCACCCCATTTGTCACAATAACATGACAAGCGCTGCTCTTGACCTGGTCGTCGCCCGCGTGCTGCTGACAGTGCCGCCAAACGGCGCAGGCGCCAAAGGTGCTAGAGGCCGGCGCGCACAGCGAGGGAAGAGCTGGGGGATCCTCACGAGCAGTCTGGTGTGAGTGAAGAAGCGGTGGGAAGCTGCGGCCAGGAACACAGCGGACATTTAGTGACTCACGCGCGCGGGTCACGGAACGATGTATGCGTTGGTTTTGATTGCAATTTTGGAATCCGGATCAATCAATCAAACTATAAGTCATCTTGTTGTGCCCGAAACAAAACAATTCAGATCAAAGGCGTGCGTCCCCGTGTCGTGGTGGGAGGCAGGATGCGGGCCTTTCTCCTCCTCGCCATTGCGCTTTGCGCTGCTCAAGGTGCGGAGTCTTTAGTCCCATCAGTACGGATTGGTTCACCCGCGAAAGCAGGTGGCGTAACCCGCACTGTGCTGCTGCCGGCGCTGCACGCTCGCAGCTGCGCTCACGCAGGCTCATCACCCGGCCCACCTTCTGTGCCTCCCCCAGGCGCGAAGGGGCAAGCAGCCTCATCCTCACCGGCGCCGCTGTCGCCCCAGATGAAGGCCCTATACAAACAGGTTGCCAACCTCAAGCGGCAACAGGCGACACAACTCCAGGCGCTCGCAAACCAGAGGGCGGCCCTCGTCGCGCAGCAGCAGCTGCAGCTGCAGTCTGTGTATAACCAGATCGCCGAGCTCAAGGATCAGCAGGCTGCTGATCGCCAGGAGCTCGCGGACCAGGCCGCGGCGCCGGGCCTCAACCCCGACCAGGTAGCCGGGTTCAAGCAGCAGCAGCGCGCCCTGGCGCAGCAGCAGGCCGGGCAGCTCAAGGCGCTGCAGGGCCAGAAGGCGCAGCTGGAGGTGCAGCAGGCAGCTCAGCGCGCGGCGCTCGACGGGCAGCTGCTGCAGCTGCGGACGCAGCAGGCGGCGGCGACGTTGCAGCTGAACGGGCAGATTGAGCAGCTGAAGATTCAGGAGGCGGGCAACCAGGATGACTCTTCGGATGACGCGGGCCGCCGGCGGCTGCAGACGGCGCAACAATCACCCACTGCCGCAGCCAAGGCC